TGTGTATGTGTGTGTGCCTGTGTATATTCATGTGTGCACACATATGTGTGTAGTGTGTGTGTGCACATGTATGCATCTGTGTGTGTCTATGTGTAACATTTGTAGTTCAGCACCTCAGTCTGCAAACTCCTGAGAGGATCTGAGCCTTTATCCAGCAGATGGATCTTCTTCCTCAGAGAAATCTCATGTTTTGATCTTAAGGACCCAACTTACATTATTGAGGGTAATTTCATTTAAAGTTAACTGATCATAGATGTTAACCACATCTATAAAATACCTTCACAAGGCCAGGCATGGTGGCTTATTCCTATAATCCCAGCACTTTGGGAGGCCGAAGCAGGCGGATCACCTGAGGCCAGGAGTTCGAGACCATCCTCGCCAACATGGTGAAACCCCGTCTCTACTAAAAATACAAAAATTAGCCAGGTGTGGTGGCAGGCACCTGTAATTCCAGCTACTCAGGAGGCTGAGGTGGGAGAATTGCTTGAACCCGGGAGGCGGAGGTTGCAGTGAGTCGAGATCGCACCACTACACTCCAGCCTGAGCGACAAGAGCTGAACTCCGTCTCAAAAAAAAAAAAAAAAAAAAAATGCCTTCACAACAGCACCTCGACTGGTGTTTGGTTGGATAACTGGGCACTGCCCAGCCAAGTTGACAACAGGAAACTAACAGTTATAGCCAGTAAGAAACCGTGACATCTTGTTACATGACGGTTATTTAAAAATATGTGCAGGAAAAGACCCACATTTTAAAAGATTGCATTTTCGCTGTTTGAATGACACATCAAAAGGATCTGCCTCTGAATTATAAAGAAAATAGTATACAATTAGGAATATCAGTGAAATGTCTAAAAAGTGCATACACAGTCATCTCATGCTCAGGGATGGTGGCTCCACAAAGGGAAAGCCTCACAGAAAAGCTTAAATGTCCAAGTGCATAGAGTGACTTAAATTCTGTGAATTTAATTATTTCCTGGCAATAACTTGTTCGTGTTTTACAAATAATCTCTCTAAAGAGAAGTGGATAATAACTAATTTCACAGAGCAGTAAAATGCAAGTTATTTAAGAAAATAAAACATTATTGATGCTGAAAATGTTAGCTATTTCTCAGTGCGGGTGATTGAAGACTAAATACATTTTCCTAACTTTGAACAAAAATCAAAGTGCATCAGCTTGGGCACAATGCCCATGAGAGCTGGCCTGAGGCTGGCAACTGCTAAAATAGGGACTTTGCTGTGCCAGAGGGCAGATGTGGCTTCTGGGTGGAGGTGTGTATTTAAGATCCAACAAGAGGACTTCCAGGAACCAGCTATGAAATACAAAAGTCTAACAGAAATCTCTTGCAATGATTTTTTAAAAAACGGAATTCTACTTATGTAAGCAAAAACCAGGAAATCTTAAAAGTTGCAGAAAACCTTAGCAGATGCAAAGTGTCTTGAGCCAATGAGGAAGAGGGCAGGGAACCAACAGGGGGCTTGATGGGGGCATAGGGAAAGGGCGTGGGGAGAGGCAGGAGGAGCATGGGGGTGTAGGGGGAGGGCCCAGCCCCACGGAGGCTGACACTGGGGACCACCAGAGACATTGGCTGCAGCTGCCCTCACTTGCGGCTGAGGCGCTGGCACAGGCCTGGAGATGGCGTCTTCCCGTGGGGTCCAGTTGTGCCACCTGTCCTTCCAATTTTAAGGTAAGCGGGACAGGACCCCAGAGCACACGGCTTTCTATCGAAATATGTTTAATAAGATTGAGCTTATGAATGAAAACTTAAAAGTTAACAATTTATAAAGTAGTAAGTTCTACATATATATGAAAAATGATGAGAATGTTGGGTTAAGGAGCAAGTGTGACAGAGACAATGTAGGTCGGATAAAATGAACAGCAAAAGGGCATAAGAAGAGAAAAAGTGAGGGACGGAGCACCTCCAGCATCATGACAGTGACAACTTATCATTGAATTATTCTGGAAGTTTACTGAGATTCTCATCAAATACCACTGCATGTCTAATGGATCAGCAAGCTCCATAAATTAAAATATCATAGCAGTAAGTGTAAATGAGATTAATTCTCCCTATTTAAGGAAAATGGACTCTCCTAATGGCTCTGAAACTCAGAGCCCACCTTCCTTCTACCTCCAACACACACATCCCACACACACCACATACACCACACATATACATGCACACAAACAACACATAGACATGCACACACCACACACACACACACACCACATACACACAACAAAAAAACATACACACCACACACACAAACACACCACACACACACAAAGACACATACCACATACACCACACATATATACACACACAACACATAGACATACACCACACATACCATACATACACACCACACACATAAACACAAATCACACACATAACACACACACTAAACATACACACCTTAGACCCACATATACATACAAACATGCACACATAGACACACCTCATACACACACACAGAGACCACACACACACCACACACATAAACAGCATGCAAATATATATGGACATACCCACACCACACACACATACCCACATGTACACAAACATTCACACCACACGCATATACACATATGCACACCACACAGACATGCCCCACATCACACATGTGTACACACCACACATACATGCCCTGCATCACACATGTACACACACACAGACACAAGCATATTCTGTCTACCAGAGAAATACTTCAACCAGTAAATTCAGAAGGTTAATACAGAAAGGAGAGGCAACAATTTCAGTGCAAGTCCAAATTTCAGGGCTGAGCTCAGAGCCCCTGGGGCCCTGTGTGCAAGAATCTGGATGTCAGCTCCGGCTGTGGTGGGTGACAGACGGCCACCTGCAGGTGCCTCTCCCATTGCTTGGGGGACCTGCTGCTGGGCCAAGCAGGGCTCTGAGAAGGTTTCCCAGTCACCCCCAAGCTTGGGGCTGAGAAAAGAGCTTCGCAGAGGTGCCAGCTTTTGAGATGGGCGGCACAGGCTGAATATCCAGCGTGGGAGGGGGTGCAGGCACACGTGGACTTGGGAGCCCTGGGCTGGAGGTGAGTGTGTAGGGGTGATGGCCACCCAGAGTGGCAGGAGGGCAAGCACTGCTCCTCATGAACCCCAGCGTTCAGAGCTCAGGAAGCAGAGCAGGGCCAACAGAGGGGGCGCCCAGAAGGACAGCCAGGACAGGACACCACAGACAAAGGAACCCCATCGAGGAGCCAACAGCAGGAGACCAAGGGGTAGATGGAGCACAAACAAGTTTTTAAAAGCATTTTGCTGTGGGAAGGAATGGAGAAATGGCACAGGGCTGCCCGTGGATGTTGCACTAAGGAAGGGTTTCATGGTGAAGGTTCCATAGCAGGGACTGCTCTGAAGGGAAGGAAGCCAGATAAAGGAAACATTGTGATGTAGGACAAGGCAAATGCGCGGGACAGAGGCTCAAAGGGAGAGATTCCTGTGGCCCTAGATAGATCGAGGCCAGCTCTTTTGTTGCGGGGGGATGTGGAGACAGAACAGGCCTCGGGCACCGCAAGTCAGCAGAGCAGGAGTACACAGAGATGTTCACTTTTATCTGCACGTTGAACTGAGCTGTGATCAGCAGCTGAACAGGTGGAGGCTTCAGTGAAGAGAAGGAAGGAAACATCCATCATGGGATAGGGAGGGAGAACAGGTCGGGACGTGTCCTGCCCTGCACTAGAGTCCCCTGAGTGAAAAGTCATGAATTTAGAGATTAACCAGCCAGCAGTTACATTTTTCTCCAGCCGCAGAGCAGAAGGAGACCTGGAGTTGAGTCCCTTGTTTCTGAACCAGTGACCATGACAGGTGAGGGCAGAAGGACAAGGGGCCATGGGGTTCAGTTTGAGGAGGAGGCAATGAGGCCCAGGCTAGAGACAGTCATCTGAGACATGGGTGGCTGAGCCCTGCCTTCGTGGCGGTAGGAAATGAACGGGCCTGCAGTGAAAGAGGACCCAAGATGCTCAGAATAAAGATTCCAGCGCAGGTGGCAGCTCTTGGCGAAACAGAGATGTTTTCACGGTGATTGGGAGTGTGGCTGAGGAACGTGGACAGTGAGACCCTTGGGGGCCAATCTGGGCATCTTAAACTCCTTCCCTGGTTATCCACAGAAACGTGAGTCCGTGGGGAACGCAGACAGGAAAAGTCGTTTGCTCCGGGAAGCTGCAGGTCCCTGCGTGGATTCACTCAGCATACCCCATGCGCAGTTTAATCCCACACACTACGATTTGGCAGAAATAGTCAAACTCGGCTTCTTCCTGACTCAACTCCTTCCGCACCTCACCTTCCTTTCCTCACCTTCCTTTCCCCTCCATTTATTTATTATTAGGTGCAGGTGCAGGTGCAGTGAATTCTGACACACACAGCTTTGCAGCATCTAGACTTTTAGTGTCTCAGTCAGATTTAAACAATGGCAAATACATTGTGCACAAAAAGCTGATTTTAGATGCTGTGTTGAAACATACAGGATTGTATGTGAGGTGACTAAAACAGTGAGTGTAATTTGAAGTTTCATCACAGAACTAAGTTCCATCCTTTTGAAATGATAGCCACTAATTTCCTGAGAACTAAAGCATCATTTAAATCTTTAAATTTGTATTTGTGGTTTGTTGTGCCACAGTTAATCCATGTTTTGCCAGTGACTGAACACTGGGTGTTTGTAGTAACACACTGATTTCTCCAAGGGTATTATTTTCTGGTAGATTGCGTTCATAGGGATGCAGAGAGCCTGGTGTTGTGGATGATATGGGCAGACCCCTGCTTACTCATACACTTGTTTACGCAAATAGAATGTGGGAGGCAGGTGGTCTCGGAGGTGATAACCGCTCTTTCTTTACTCCAGCTGAAGCCCACAAAGTTTTCTGTGTTTCAGAGGTAGCTATGAACTTTGAATTCTTGGGAAACAGGAGGCAGAGAGATTTTACTTTTTTATTTCTGTGTCTGGTTCTTTTGTGGTGGTAAAGTAGCTATTTTTGTCATATTGACAGGTGCATCTTCTGAGAAATGCTGGCAATGAAGTTACCATCACCGTTGAGTATCTCAGGGAAGCGCCGGCGTTTCTGAAGCTCCCGTTAGGTAAGTGGGAAGAGGAGAAATTCCAGTGTGCTGGAGAAATTCCTTTTTGGCCACATTATTTATCCAAATGCTACCGCATGGACTGGGATATTTATCATTTCCTGAGCGCACATTCAGAGAGAAGAAAAGTATAGGCAGGCACCGTGGCGTTACGTATTCCCATGACGTATGTTTTAACACATCCACGGGCTTTTTTAAAGGAAGTGTTATCAGACCATGCTTCTCGTCACGTAACTACATGGTTCTTCCTTTGTGCAAACTCACCATGATTGTATTTATCTATATGTTAACATACAACAAAGTTTACATTTGAAATACCTATGTTGACCTGAGAAATTTTCAGTGCAAAAAATGAAAATAATGGTAAATTTATGCTATGAAGTCCCTGACATATTTTGGCACAAAGTATGTAATCCTCTATTATACTTGAATTGTGACCCAATATGAAAGTGATGAACCCCAAATCTAGAAAAATGTTTTAGTGAAGATAGTTGTAACTTTTTCTAATGTCATTCATCTGTTGTGGCTTTATAAAGGTTGGAGTCACCACTGTTCCTTTGATTTAGCAGAGGGCGTCGCTGCCCTCTCTTTGTGGGTAATCAGGAAAGGCCTTAAAGGCAACGCCCAGGCTCTCCTGAAGTCAACATCTGCTGGTGGCTCAAACCCCATGGCATCTGACATGGAACGAGGACCTCCCACCAAGCTGACAATCGGGTTCCTTCTCATGGGGGCTGGTGGCCTGTCCTTCCTGCCACTGTCTCATGGGAAGGAACGGCGTCCCTCCCTGGGGGTTCATATTGGCTGTTTTACTTTCTCTCTCTCTTCCATTGATGTCCCCTTTGTCAATGCCTTCCTTTCTCTCCTGCCCCGAGTGGCCCGGCTGCAGCTCTCAGGCACATGAGTTGTTGAGTTCTGATCATGCATTGGGTTTTTCACTGATAAAGGAGAGGGGCAGGGAAGTGCTGGGAGGAGAAGGGCAGGTCCTCGGTGAGGGCTCCACCCCCAGGCCTGTGCCCATGGACCTAAGTGAGGACAGGCACTCCTGTTCTTGCACCCAAATGTTGCATTTTCCAATACCACCCTGGCCCACCACGCCCCCATCCTGTGCCTAAAACAACCCCAAGACTCTAGTGGGCAGAGACACAAGTGGCTGGACGTCCAGAAGAACAGAGGAGTCGAAGAGCATGCTGACAGGCACCAGCAGACACTGGCAGGCTATCGGCTGGCAGAATGATGTGGAGTTTGGCTGGGGTGGTTGGAAGAGACTCCAGGAGAAAACCACCTTGCCACTCCATGCCCCTTCTGGCTCTCCATCCATTTTCTGAGAGCTACCACCACTCCATAAAACCTTGTGCCAACCCTCCAAGCCCACGTGGGATCCGATTCTTCAGGTACGTTAAGGCAAGAACCCCGGGATACAGAAAGCCCTCTGCCCTCATGATAAGGCAGAGGGTCTAATTGAGCTTACTAACGCAAGCCGCCTCCAGATGGCAGAACTAAAGCCTACAAGCCATCTACAGACGGCAGAAGTGAAGCCTACAAGCCACCTACAGACGGCCGAAGTAAAGCCTGGAAGCCGCCTCCAGACGGCAGAACTAAAGCCTACAAGCCGCCTAACAGCAGAACTAAAGCCTGGAAGCCGCCTGCAGACGGCAGAACTGAAGCCTACAAGCCATCTACAGACGGCAGAAGTAAAGCCTGGAAGCCACCTGCAGACGGCCGAAGTAAAGCCTGGAAGCCGCCTCCAGACGGCAGAACTAAAGCCTACAAGCCGCCTACCAACAGCAGAACTAAAGCCTGGAAGCCGCCTGCAGACGGCAGAACTGAAGCCTACAAGGCGCCTCCAGATGGCAGAAGTGAAGCCTACAAGCCACCTACAGACGGCAGAAGTAAATCCTGGAAGCCGCCTGCAGACGGCAGAACTGAAAGAACACCCTGGAACACACACTCCCAGTGGGGCTTCAGGAGCTGGAAACATCCACCCCTACATGCTGCCCTGGGGTCCGAGCCCCAAAGCCTGCCCATCTCTATGGCACCCCCGCCACAGGTGTGAGCAGCAGGGCACCGAAGAAGTGAGCACTCTGCCATCACAAGCCCTGCAAGGGGGACACGTGAACTTTTCCTGTGTCAGCATTTGATCAAAAGTATCATTAGACTCATAGTGTGACTTCTGCTTTCATCTTCCTCAGCAACCAGGAACAAATCAATTTCAGCAACTCCATGTTTCCCATCGATCACAGCAGGATAACTGTGCTATTCACAATCTTAGGAAAATCGATCTTGCTGCCGTTGTACTAAACATGGATCAGTAAGATTCACTGCATGCCCTGCCATCCACAGAGACCACTCCCTCTGCTAGATGGAACCACGGGAGCGTGGATGAGGACCTGGAGGGTTCTTGAGGAAAAGAGTAAGGGGTGCTGAGAGGCTGTGCGTGAGAAAGGCGAATATTCCCAGGGCGGTAGAGGCAGAACATGTTAGCAATCGGACAAAAGTTCGAGGGAGTGAAATGTCACACGCGGCACAGTGGTGCACCCCCTGGGGTTTTGAGAAACTTTGCTGTGAGTCAGGAAGGGGGTGGACGTGATGAGAGCTGCACAGAAGTTCTTGGAGCCAGCAGGAGACGCAGGTGTCAGACACATCACGAGGCCCAGCAGTGAGCGCAGATGGGGGAGGAGGACTCACTTGCGAGGGGGCAGCCTGAGTGTCTGAGGATTCTGCAGCAGCTGTGACCATACAGGCTCACCAAGGAAGAAACTAAGACATTTCATAGATTTTTGCCAGAAAGAAAAAAAAAGAAGATAGTGACTTGGACAGGCGGAGGTGGCACAGATAAAGGAGACAGATGGAAAGCAGGGAGTGCTTTCTGGTGTTGCAAAGTGGGAGTGGGAGCCGGAGGACACTCACTCTGGGGCCGTTCCTGACTTCTCTCTTGGGCAAGGTGACTTCACAGGCAGAGTGAGATGGGTGCTGCGTCTGAGCCAGCTTCCCCGGCTGCCGTTGAAGCAGCAGAATTTAAGCAACAGCAGCAGATCACAGAGGAAGTGCCCCAGGCAGAGGTTTCCACCGAGCACTCCTGCCTAGAGATAGCACGGAGCCTGTGTTTCACTCTGAGGATGGGCAGCTCTTGCAATTCTGGTGCCTGAGCCCGCGGGGCAGAGGCTGTCTCTGTCGAGATTCACATCCTGACTTCTGTCCGTGGGCTCCGCTGAAACCCGCAGGCTCCGGGGTCAGTTGCCGGTGACCTAGTGACTTCTATGGGCGTTGCTGCCCGCGCCCTGAGCAGGGCTGTGCTGACTCTAACTGCTCTGCCTGAACGGGCCCAGCTGCACCGACCACCCCACAGGTCACCGGGCACATGCAGGAAAGGGCAGCCTGGGGCACAGATCACGGAGGCCAGGGGTGCTGCGTCCCCGTTAATTCAGTAAGTGTCTATTCTCCTTTTTATTTCATTCTTTACAATAAAAAATGTTAACATCTTAGTATCCATAACAATTTAAGCACGGCAGCCGTAATCTCTCCATAAATTCAGGTGAAACGTCCTCTGCTGAATTCACACCGTGAAGGTAAAATTGCGGTGCCCGAGCAGGCTTCACTTTCTCACTGCAGAGCAGCCCCAGTGAGTGGGGAAAGGGAGTACCAAGCAGATCTGTGCAGAAAATGTCCAGCTTCCACATTGTAAAACGTTTATCAAAGAGAAAATAAATAGCCGTTTGAGACTGAGTCAAAGTAGGCTTTTATTTTTCGCAAGTCAGGCTCTTGGTGTTTTTATAAAGATACAATTCATACAACACAAAATTCACCGTTTTAAAGTAACACGTCAGCAATTTTAAGTATTTCACTACGTTGTAGAGGCCTTGCTACTATGTAATTCCAAAACATTTCCATCATCCCAAAAATAAACCCTGTCCCAATTAGCAGTCAGTCCCGATTCTCCCCACCCCAGCCCGCGGCAGCCGGGCATCTCCTTCCTGTCTCTGTGGATGTGCCTGCTCTGGACGTTTTCTGTGAATGGAATCCCGCTCTGGGGAGCCTTTGTGTCTGGCGTCCTCCCTCAGTGGAGTTTCGGAGTCAGCCCCCAGTGTCCCGGCATCAGTGCTGCCTTCTTCCAGCTGAACAGCATCTCTCACAGGGAATTTATCTGTGTTTATGGACCCACGTGCATACCCTTTCATCAGCTGGTGGGCGTTTGTCTTGCTTCTGTTTGGGGGATATTGTGAATTATAGCGCCATGAGCATCTGTGAATGCGTTTTTCTTCGGAGATGCTTTCCTTCTCACCGAGTGGATGCCGCGGACTGGAATTGCTGGGTCCTCTGGTGATTCTAGGCTCAGCTTTTTGAGTGGCTGCCAAAGTATTTTCCACAGCAGCCACACCATTTTACATTCCAACCAGCATTGCTCGAGGGCAACCGAAGCAGTTTTGATAGGTTGGGGTTAGTTTTTTCTAAGATTAGGTGCTTTAATAAACATTGATCATATACTATATGTTTTCTAATATGATTATTTATTTTTGACACCAACTAAGTCCATTTTTATTGAGAATTCCTGATATTGGGTTTTTAAAAAATAATGGACTTTTATTTGTGATAGAAGAAAGATATAACTATTCACATTTCTGTTCTGGGATATGGATGACAAGATACCCATTCATCAGAAATAAATTTATAGAGATTTAGAGTGTAAGTGTGACTGTCAAATGTGAATTTATTGACTATTTACCTGTTTGCTCATTCAGTCAATGGCAGCTTGGATCTGCTGCCATTAGCCATGTGTCTCCTTGGTCTACAGCATGGACTTTGGGATTTTAGAAGATTGCAGTCATTAAAAATATTTTGATTTTCCTCTCAAATTACTGATACGGTGATTATGGATATAAAATAACAGGCATTGGGAAAGAGTTTCAAATAAATAACAGTGAAATGTGCTTCTGAACGCTAAAGGGCAGATTCAGGCGCTGTCTCAGCAACGACCCCGTGAAACGCCCTGGGTGCTGTGTGGAGCAGAAGGCTGGTCCACAGCAGAGTCTTCACCAGACAGTGAACAGTGGCCAGTGAAAAAGGAAAGTTCCTCATCTAGTAAAATTGACAACTACCCTTTAAACAAAGTTAAGCAGCTCTTATTTCCCCCAGAGTTCTCCAAGTTTCTCAGTATCTTAATTTTCATGAAAGAATATGGTATGAAGTATTTTCTGAAAACATGAGTCTTTGTAGATATCATACAGCTGGACAAAGGGTAACAGCGAGCCATGTTAACTCGCTGAACGTTGCACGTCACATTTGCAGAGGCAGATTGGAGGTTAGAGGGTCTTGAGCCTCCGAGCTGTATCGCGTTCCTGTCTGCACCAAGCGAGGCTGGTGGTCACATTATGACTTTCCATATGTGATGCTGATTGATCTTCACTTTAATCCCAGGAAACAGACGGCACAACAGGGCATCCCAAATACAAATGCACAGAGCTGTGTCCACCAGGCTTTCTTCAGCTTCACAGGGGTCTTTCCTGCAAGAGGCCAGTGTGCCAGTTCAAGCCTCCATTCTGCAACAGCACCACATGGTTGTGATGACTGATGGCTGGCTGGTGACAGGTCCTCCTGCTAGTGCTGTTCTCAGTGCCTCTTTCCTCTTTCCAGGCACTCAGGTGATCTAACAACAGGGCCTGGTCTCCACTCATGGATGCATCAAACGCTCCTTTCTCAGTGTTGGGAGGCCTCTGTTCCACCTGGCTGGGAATCTAGCACGGTCAGGCTACTGTGTTCACGGATCTGTCTTTACGTGGCAATACCACAGAAATGCTGGGTGAAACACTAAGCCACATGGGAGCAGCCCACTCTTATAGTCCAGCCTGAAGATATTGGTGGGAAGGGACAATAAAGGAACAAATACAGCCTTTCTCCCTGAGCTGTTCCCAGGACCTTGGAAATGGCATGAAAGCGCTCTGCGTCCCCTGGGTGATCCATGCAACGTGAAGGTCTATGAACTGGCTTGCTTCTGTTTCGCAGATGTAAACTCTGGTTGCACGAGCCTGTATTTCCAGGGAAATTATGTTATGAGCACCTGTTTTACCTGTAATGTGCTAAGTGCTTTGAGTGTGAGCTTTTCAATATTGTCTCTGGAAAAAAAAAAAAAAAACCTTTTGAGTGGCCTGGTACGATCATCTCCTTTCAAAAGAGAACACCAAGATCACAGAAGGCGCCTTGTGCTGACCACTCCAGGGGGGCATGTTGACAGGGAGGGCCTGGGCTGCCAGGGGAACACCTTCCCGATGCTGTCCCTCCACCCTGGGGAGCCCTCACAGGAGCTGGCAGTGGTCCCTCCCTTCAATCTGAGGTCAGATCTTGGTGAGGAAACTGTATCACGGCAGGAAGGTGAGAGGCCATTGGGGATGACCCAGCTCATAACTGGGCATCAGCTTCTCTGAGGGTGACCAGGCATTTTGGTGCTGGTGACTTCCCATGCAGAGGTAGAACTGAAGTCACTCCATGGTCACAGTGTGCTTTGTCGAGGCACCAATTGGAAGGAACTTCTCTTGTTTTGCTGCAGGGTCCCCAGGGCCATCCAGCGACCACAGCAGTGGGGCCTCCTCTCCCCTCTTTGACAGCGGTTTGCATCTGAACGGAAACTCCAGTAACACAGTAAGCATATAGATTCTCATTAAATTTTATTTTAACAGAAGTATCAGTAGCCCAGAGATAATCTCTAGACAGAATTAAAAAGATGCTGTACTGCCCAGTGAAGATAATTGTGATGGTTTGAGAGGAAATACTTAGAACACAGATTCAAGGTGCTGTTCTGTTGACATTTACTCCCACGTGGGACACCTCATGATTGCATTATAGGATATTTTAAGCTCATAATTCACAGCATCTCAGTGAGCAGGCAAGAATACTTTGAGTCCTGCCTCTGATTTACATATCACTGTGACTGTAGGAAGGATTCAGGTTATTTTTAGGAAACTTCTGTGAGACTCCCATTAATTTCTTAACAGAAAATACCTAAGGAGGTATGAACACTGTATAATGCAGTGAGTTTTAATCACATTCCAAATATCCACCCTCCCAAGGAAACCAGACTCGAGCAAAAGGAGAACCTGCAGCTCCCCGGGGCATGGGACTCCCACCCTCCTCCCTCAGAAGCCTGGGCTGTCAGAGAACCTGCAGCTCCCTGAGGCACAGGGCTCATGCCCTCCTCCCTCAGAAGCCTGAACTCTGACTCCCACAGGGTGACCTGTGAGCTGCACCCCATGGGGAATTCATCATCCACAGAGGCATTAGTGCACGAGAAATGTAGAATCCTGTAAGCAGTTTGAAAAAATGTTTTATTGTAAATCATTCCAGTCACATCACCAAAATGACCAGATACTTCATACACAGGGAGAACAGAGAGAAAAATATTCATGTTTGTACAATCTGTGTTTAAGATGTCTGACTACTCCATTTCTAACCAATTAATTGAGCTTTTGATAATTAAAAATTGCATTTAGACTCTGTGTCAGTTATGAAGCAAAATAAAACAAATGCCCATGAAATTGTAGTTCTCATCAATAATTAGAGTATTGTCCCTAGCTTTTCATCTGTGTACTCTTCCATACTCCATTTTCTGGCCTGCCCAGAGATATAAGGCATCCTGAATTTTGTGTTTATCATTCTCTTGATTAAAAAATGTTTTATCTGTAAATATATAATTTCATTTTATTGCAAGGCTTATAAAATATTATTCTGCCATAGTCTTCTGAGATTTGCATGTTTACTTACTGTTTGTTTCTATGAGGTTTTTTGCTGTATGATATTTCACTACAGTTTATTTATCCATTGTCAGTTGCCCATGGACACTTGGCTTTTGTTTTATGTTTGTTTTCCTAGTTTATCATCATTAAAACCAGCACAGCCATAAAGATACTTATAAATGTCTCTTGGCTATTCTATAAGGTAGAATTTCTGAGTGCTAGATTATGCTAGGATGTTCTATTTTCAAAATAACAGCAAGTTTTCTACAAAAGTGGCTGTGCAGTTTATATTCCTGCAGCTCTAGGGAATTCCAGTTGAGCCACAGCCTCTCCAGTGCTAGGTAATTTTTGACTTAATATTCAAAGTACAGTAGCTGTAAAATTGTTCTCTCTCTGGGACTCTATTTCATTTCCGTCATTACTAATGAGTTTTATTTACTTTTCCTATTTGTATTTTCCTTTGGCTTTTCCTCTTCTGTGAAATGCTATTCATCTCTTTGGCACATTTACCATTAAGGTGATCTTTTTTCTTACAAATCCGTTGAAATGTTTAATATATACTTGGTAATAATATTTTGGTGGTAATGGGTTAAAAATCTCTTCCTACAGCCGATAACTTGTCTTTTTCATTTTGTTTGTGGTATCTTTTGTGGTTTTGTGGTTTTAGGATCTTGTTTAAGAAATCTTTCTTATCCTAAGTTCATAAAGATATTTCCTTATATTTTCCTCTAAATATTGTTAATGTTTGCTTTTCACATTAGGTCTCTAAATTCCATGAGATCTATTTTTGTGAAACCTGTGCAAGGTAGAGTTCCAGGTGCGTTTCTGTGGATAACCAGTTGTCTCAACACTGTTTCTGGGTGATCTGCAATGCCACGGCTCACATGTAACCAGCGCCGTGAGCACAGGCGTGTGCTGCTGAGACCTCTGTTGTATTCTGATGGTCAATATCAACGGCAATATCACACTATGTAATTACTAGGTATTTATAATCAGTGTGTGTCATCTGTAGGCCTTGCCCTCTTGCCACCTCCTAACTCACTTTATTTTTTCCGTCTTCTCTCTTTCTTTGTTTTTTCTTGTGAATTTCAATAGCTCTTGATCCAATTCTACAAAAAAACAGTGTTGGGATTTTGACTGTAATCACCAGATTTACTGGGAAGAATCAAACCTTTCTGACTCACCTTTCCTGCTTATGGAAAGCATATTTATTTGTGCTATCTTTGAATTAATTAATACTGCTTCATTTCTTTCCATATTCTTTAATATTTTCCTACAGAGTCTTTTTAAAATTAATTTTACAAGAGGATTATACAATTCCATTTGTCTGCAACACCCCGTCCCCCAAGCCAGCACCATCCAGCAGGGGGAAACTGTCCTCCTACCCTTTCTGTGCAGTGTCCTCAGCGTTTCTCTCCCACTGTGTGGCTGTAACTTTTTGAGTGGACTCTAAACTCTTCCTGGAAGGAGACACAGAGCATGAGGTATGATTCGGTGTCATTCCAGGAAAGGTCAGACAGTGTGTGGCTCTGGTAAGCGCAATGGAAAAGTAACATGAGAGCAACATTGAAGGAAGGCTGCCTGGTTTGCCTGGTTCTCCCAGTTCTCCCAGTTCTCCCGACTCTCCTGGTTCTTCAGGCTTTGGTGGATATGATCCTCCTGTCAACGAGTAATTGAGGAATTATGGAAGGGACATGGGTAAAGTGACCAGCCTAATGCTTAGAATATGTCATCTTCAGACATCCTCCTCCTCCTTATCAGCAAGAGAAAGAGAAAAGTGCTGAACTTAAAAGTCTTTGTAGTTATTCATATGGTTAGCTCAGCTCCAGAATAAAGCATCGTCAGGTTATTTAAATTCATTACAGAGAATGTGAATTGCAGAGTTTTAAAATAGTTTTATTTTTTTATTTATTTTTATTTTTTTTTTTTTTTTTTTTGAGACGGAGTCTTGCTCTGTCGCCCAGGCTGGAGTGCAGTGGCCGGATCTCAGCTCACTGCAAGCTCCGCCTCCCGGGTTCACGCCATTCTCCAGCCTCAGCCTCCCGAGTAGCTGGGACTACAGTAAAATAGTTTTAATATGTTCTTTTTAGAAGGCTATCAAGACTCGATACTGAGACCTATCTGAGGGTGAAGGGTGGGAGGAGGAAGAGGATCAGAAAAAATAACTATTTGGTATTAGGATTAATACCTGGGTAAAGAAATAACCTGTGTAACAAGTGCCCATGACACAAATTTACCTATATAACAAACCTGTACATGCACCCCTGAACCTAAAATAAAGTTTTTTTTAAAAGAAAAACTTAAAAATTGGCAAATGGAATCTAATTAAACTAAAGAGCTTCTGCACAGCAAAAGCAACTATCATCAGATTGAACAGGCAAGTTACAAAGTGGGAGAAAATTTTTGCAATCTATCTGTCTGACAAAGGTCTAATATCCAGAATCTACAAGGGACTTAAACAAATTTACAAGAAAAAAAAGACATTAAATGTAGGCAAAGGACATGAACAGATACATCGCAAAAGAAGACATTCATGTGGCCAACAAACAGAGGAAAAAAGGCTCATCATTACTTATCCTCAGAGAAATGCAAAGCAAAACCACAATGAGATACCATCTCAGGCCAGTCAGGATGGTGATCATTAAAAAGTCAGATGACGTCGAGGTTGCAGAGAAATAGGAACATTTTTTCACTGTTGGTGGGAATGTAAATTCATTCAACCATTGTGGAAGATGGTGTGGTGATTCCTCAAAGGTCTAGAACCAGAAATACCATTTGACTCAGCAGTCCCATTACTGGGTATATACCGAAAGGAATGTAAATTATTCTGTTGCAACAATACATGCATGTGTATGTTAATTGCAGAACTAATCACAATTGTAAACACATGGAATCAACCCAAATGCCCATCAATGATAGACTGGATAAAGAAAATGTCATAGAGATACACCATGGAATACTATGCAGCCATAAAGAAGAACAAGAATATGTCCTTTGCAGGGACATGGATGGAGCTGAAGCCATTATCCTCATCAGAATAAGGCAGGAACCAAAAAGCAAACACCACATGTCCTCACTTATAAGTGGGAACTGAACTATGAGAACACATGGACACAGGGAGGGGAACAACACACACTGGGGCCTGGCAAGAGGTGGGGGCCCACGGCGGGAGGGAGAGCATCAGGAGAAAGTAGCTAATGGATGATGGGCTTAATACCTAGGAGATGGGTTGATAGGTGCAGCAAACCATCATAGCACACGTTTACCAATGTAACAAACGTGCACATCCTGCACATGTACCCTGGAACTTAAAAATTAAAAAAAAAAAAAACTTTAGAAGGAGCCAGAAGTTAAAAAGAAAATAATAGTAAAATTGACAACTTCTTTCTCAACAAAAACAAGAGAAGCTAGAGAACATGAAATGACAGCTTTAAAGTATGAAAAAGAAATTAATTCCTGTTTAAAATTCTATACCCAGCAAACATGCTTCAAAAGTGAAGAAACAAATACAATATTTTCTGACAAAAAAGAGATAATTGTTTCCAGTAGATCAGCACTTTCATTTTATTGTATTTTTTTTGAAAAGGAAACTAAGCATACCCACATAGCCCTTCAAGTTGACATGCACTTCCTGATGTGATAAAAGTTTATTGGCACACTGCTGAATGAAAACAACATTTAAATAATTTCATTTATGTAAATTTGTCACAAAAGCTTAGCAGTGATTGCATGTGTTGTTAAATATGAGATAATTTTTATATTAACCATACTACTATATTGTTGGAATTTGGGACGATAAACACTTATTTTTTTGTTGTTCATTAAAATATTTAATTATATGATAAACACTCCTGGTATAATATCAAGGAAAAAAACATAGATGAAAATGTTTTAAAAGTCTCAAAATCC